TCAAAAATTACACAATGAAGAACTTAGCAACTTAGAAAAGCAGCTACCAAAAAAGATGAGAAAATCTTTAGCTACAGAGCTAAACATTCATTACAGCTACGTCAGCACCTACTTGCATACATATGACAGACAAAGGGCCACAGTACTTCTCAAAAGTCTCTTCAAAATTAAATGAGTAGCAGTCAGGGTGAAAAGAGATTAGTTTCCTTTCTATCCCCATTCAAGGGTCAGACGTGACAGCTATGCCTTTGCAGATTTGCCTTTAGCTACAGAGCTAAAGATTTTCTTTGTTTTTGCTTTTTCTTTGCACCTTGACCAGAGTGGAACTATAGTTTTACTGCTTGATAAGAATGAATTACTGCTTGTTTGTTGCCTGTGGAGATATGGTGAATTCCACTAGGAAAATCATAAAYGAAACTACATCCATATCACAGCTTTGCAAACAGTTTCTACTTCTATGCAATCTGTATCCATGAAACTATTCAAGAGACATTGACTGGTTTACCTTATTTCCTTTCATTTTTTTTCATAGTATTTGGCAGTTTTAAAGTGTGGTTTTATTCTGAAAAGTGGTTTTTGTAAGTGCGTTACTGTTCCTTAGTGATTGCTATAATAATCCTGTATAATAATATGGGATAAGCTCTTCTCTAGAGCACAGACACACAGAAATCATATTAGATGTTTTCCTTCTTCCCTGATCAGATTTTTTGAGTGAAGCTGTCACAGTGCAATCAATATTCTCATGGATACCTTCATGATACTCATGGTCTTATGTGGATTTGCACTAATGCTGAATGTCTCCACTCTCATCCCTTGTGATCTTCACCATATATTCAAATGGACAGTTGAAAAGTGAAGCAGCAGGTTATTTACCCAGATAGGCAAATGCTTTCCCATTTGCACAACACCCATTAATAAGGGAGCAAATTTGCAGACGAGCAACTGAACAAAAACCCAGAGAACACCAACAGTCAGCAATTGCTGGTATGAGACTAATTCTCTGCCTCCAGGTCTCAATATCCAAGCATTTATTTTGGAGAGTAGGTTTATGTTTCTACTGAAATCAGATCAGAGACCTGCAAGCTTGAAATTGCTTGAAATGATGTGCTATTTCCTTAGAAATCCTGAAGAACTAAATTATGTTAAGACCTCACGCATCCAGATACTCTTCCCCCTCTCCAGATTCAGGTAATGGATGGCTTAGTTCTCGCTCTCTGAAAGTCCTCTCTACAATACACAGGACTTTTAGGAGCCCTTTCAGTACAACAAATATCAGATACAGCAGTGGTAGCTACCACAATCTCATTTAGCAGAATAAAAGCATGAGAGATGTCAAGTAACCTTAGTTTCACAACTGCACATTCTCATACTCAATCTCAGCCTAATAAGGTCTTCTTTAATGACTGCTGCAGATATAAAATAACTTGAAAATTCAAAGAGAACTTGTTATAACTTTCTGTACATACGAGAACAGTGGCTTTTGACCTGGGATGCCTAAGCTGCTGAAACCCATGCCACTTTAATGGGCACTAAGATTAATTTCTATCACTGAGAAGTTATTCTATCACTCCACAAATAAACACCTCTTAAGCCTCTAAGATTAGAATTTATATGAATTAATTTAATTTTGTTCTATTTCAGTAACCACAAAAGCAGACTTACAAGTGTTTATAAAAATGAAACTACTTACGTCGTGCATCGAGGCAGATGAATATAACGCAACTGACCAAAGCGAAAACAAGAGATCTAGAAAGCGCCATGAGCACTGCAGGAAAAATATCCTACTGAAGGCAAGGGCAGATGATCCTTTATCATACACAATATCTGTAAAGAATCATTTGGCATATCACAAATTTCCTAATAATATCTTGAGGGATCCTTGTGTGAGGACACCAGAAGACGGTACTGAGACGTCGAGAGAAATACACTAAATATATAACACGCTTATCTCAGCCTCTGGGATCAAAGTCCCTTTTGGCAATAAAAATATGTCAGCAAGTGAATCTCACTTTTTGTGTTTCATCACAAGTCACATGGCTATCTTTAATAATCCATGGAGATGTGAAAACATATACTTTAAAAAACTTAGGATATACAATATATCCAAATTTATATGATAGAAATATATAATCCCTGAGAAAGAAATATAAACAAGGTATCATTTTATAAAGGAACCAGCACCTTTTTATCTGATAAAACTGTTGGAGTACCTCCTCATAACTGTGTTTGATAATAATAAATAGAGGATTCCTACTGGGAAAACAGCATATATAAAAACATATATATAAAGTCATATATACAGAATATGCTTAGCATGTTACAGAAATTTTTTGTCGAGAGAAGATGTAGCAGATAGTCAAAACATTTTAGTTTTCAGTGAAGTTCCCTCCAAAAAGAAACACTAAAAGCCTCCTGGATACTTTCAAAGCATACAAATGATTTGCTGGTCATACAACTTATTTCCATCATTTCGAGGTAAATATGCCTTTAATTCAAAGGGACTAGTGATCAGCAATAGCGAAACGGCTGCCAGACCAAGGTCTTTCCCTGTCTGTGCTAGCACTTGTTTTGTCACCATGGATACAAGCATAATCACTAGAGCCTGAGCGAAAGCACAGAAGATAATGGTGTGGTATATAACAAATTAAWTAAATAAATAAATAAATAATAAAAAAGGTTGTTGCAGTTTCTTAGCCTTATGTAATCCCAATGGAAATGTGGGAGCAGACTAAGGAGAAGGGGTTAAAAAAACAGAGAAATTCAATGGGCAGCATGTCTCTGTTGAACAAAGGCCACATGCAGCCAGGACTACAGGGACATTGTTCCTGGAGCCGGGCTAAGGCAGCCTGTTCTGCCTTCCCTGCCTCCAAGCCTCAGCGAGGGTACACAGCAAAGCAAGGAAGAAATCTAGGTGCAAAAAAGCCTCGTGGGGACAAAAAAATGTAAAGGAGACCGAGAGAGAGAACGTGTGCATGTGTGAATGCGTGATTTTTCAGTGAGAGAAATTTCCTGATCTTGTTCAGCACATGGCAACACCTGTATTTATGCTATCACATCAGACCAAACGTAACGTAAGATGATAGTTCTATCAAAAAGTTGTTCACATGGATTCACTCTTAACCATGGAATTTTTTTTCTGTGCTTGAATCTTTTTCTGTGCTTGAATCTTAATGCACTGAGCAAAGGCCTACTTTTGGATCTTCCAAATGCCATAATGAAAAGCAGTTTCAGGGTTTCAGGAACCTCAGAGAGCAGGAGGCATCACAGCGACAAGGAAGCTGCTGCCCTGCTCTCAATGTTTCTCCCACAAAAAAGGTAGCCTAGTGGCTGAAGCAGACAAGTCATCAACACGCAAAAACCCTGCACAGAAGTGAATTTCAGCTGAAGGTCACCTCCAGGCAGACACAGAAAGAAAATTACTACTCAAACGCACGTCAACGTTCTCACGGATGCAAGAACTGGGAGGGCCATGGTCCCAGCCTCCCTAGGATTCTCCCTTCCTGCTCAGTCACCATGTCAGAGAACAGCACTTCAGGGCCACGATAAGGARGGGCAGCCTGACAGGCCGTGACTCAGAGTGGAATCTTTTCTTGACCAGAGTTCGGATGATTCATTTTCCAGACCTAGTGCCAAAGGAAAGATGAGGATAGGCGCGTGTTTAAGAGTAGATGCTTGGTTATACCACACAGGTTAAGTGATATCAAGGATAAAGGGGTGAAGCCTGGAAGGGAAAACAGTCTTTTCTTCAGCCCCTCGTCCCTTGTGGTAGCTCTAGGACTGAGTGCATCAGTAACCAGAACACAGTAGCTTAGCACCCAGCTGAGGAAGCAATGCCAGCTAAGCATGCAAGGCAAACCAGGGCAAACAGCAGGGTGGGCAATTTCTCCCACTCCATATTGGCAGATGTCAGTAAGATGCCATCCTTACTTCCCCATTAGAGAAATTTCTGTCCATAATTCCAAATGTAGGTGTACAGCTCATATGGATTATCAGCTTTCACCAGAAACAGGTGAAGAAGGAATGTCAGTACTTGCCTACATATATTGCTCTCGTTGACGCTGGTAATTCCAGTCCTGGGCAGATGTGAAAGGTTAAGGTGAGTAAGGTGCACAAAGCAATGCAAGGAGMTTTATGGAATGGAACTATTCATACAAGCATTTTATGCAAAGAAACAGTTGCCCAACACACTAGATTACCTGCACGCACTCAGCAAAAAGAGGAAATGATATTTTAAGAACATATTCTTTTTGCAAATAGAGGCATCCCATAACATGAGTCAAGTGTGTTCGTGCTATTCGCATTTTACATTTACTTCCTCAAGCAGCAATTCCATATCTACATTTCTCTTGGCATGGCAATTGTCCCAAGGAAGAAAATGACATGGCTGAATTTAAAATTCTGATTTTTCGTCCAAGATCTCTAGACATCAAGCAAACAGGCTCAGCTCCACACTGCTGCAAGTTCAACAGATATGGCAGCAAGATATACACTGCAATTTTCCCAGTATATCAAGGGGACATTTATGCAGGACATTTACATATATATTTCTAAAAACAGAATTATGGAAACTAAATCTTTTTGTAAAATTAACATTAAGTCTTATGATGAGCACCGTGGCAGTAGAAGGCAAAGTTAAAATATTTCAGCATAGCTGGTTTGATATTTTGCATACTTGTGCCATTGCAGAGCAGCTCACTCATGACTTTTAATCCAGCTTCAAAACAGTTCAGATAAGAACACTGCTAAATTGCAGATTTGGAGTAGCTCAGCATGCATCCATATACTGTTGACAGATTGTCGCCTTTACAATGATTCTGCAATTTAATCACAAATTGACAAAATGAAATGACTGAGACCATTAGACAATATTTATGCACTTATTTAGTTTTTAATCAGATATCTATTAAAAACACACATTTCTTAAATCAGTAACATTTATTTCCATTAAACCAAGACAAGATTTCAAAATTAACATGTGAAAAATTCAAGTTGTTGGCAAGGGAGGAAAATACTTCAAAGATAGATTACATATCATATATATTATTCTCATAAGCTCAAAATCGTTTCTGAATAAAATACTACAATACTGGCATGCAAAACCATCACTTCCCTCAGAACCCATAGAGCAGGATTTTCCCCCTTTGCCTAGTCAGTAGTTCTAAGAAAACTAACCGCATATACACACAGCTTGCAATTTTCCTAGCACAATTTAACTGTGGAATTTGGAATAACTATCAGAAATATCAAAATTATGCCAAAATATTTTCTACTGCATTTTTGTACCTGGTAGATTCTAAATACTTTCTCAGCAAACAACAACTAGTCTTTCAGTATCTACTATAAATGCCTAGAATTGCATTACTACTTACAAACAGACCTGAGGCATTAGTAAAGCCTTATTTATTTGACACAGGTTAAAGTACTCCTGCAAAGTTACCACTCCTGCCTCAAATCAAGGCTATTTGCCTGTTGGTTTCACTGGGCTCTGAATTTGCTATAGCATTGGACAAAACACATAAGAAACAAAATTCACTTATACTGTTCCAGTAAAAATCTTGAAAGCAGTATTTTTAAGTATTGCTATCCTTGTCTTCTAATGCCAATTTAAAATTCCCTAAGACACAAGACAAACAAGAAAGCTTAAATAGAGAGAAGAATGCATTTCAAGGATAACCCACCCCCCGTACCCTCACCCCAGGGTCTTGCTGACTTAATTTCAAACTCACAATTTATTGTACAGCTGATGTCTGAAATWAGCACTCCCTGAGGGCTCTTTCTACCTGTTTCAAAAAGTCAGAAAATGTTTTCTTGAATTCAGCTATTATTGCCATTTTTCTTTGCTCAGAATGATTTATTTTCTAGACAAGTTATTTCATTTGGTAGCCCTGGATTGTATGGGTAGACGAACTTGTATTCTATTGCTCCAAATAAAAAACTTCAAAGTGCATCTGACTTCAAAACAGCATTATTCAGGCAGGTTTCGGAAAGTATCTAGACCCAAAGATCAATATGCACAAATTCATCTCARTGAAAACTTGCAGAATTAACAACACATTTGCCGCAAGATTTAGTGGCATGACATCATTACGACAGAAGTGTTTTGCCTCCTAAGGTCTGGACATGGGAAGAGAACAAAACACTGTAGTGCGGAAGAGGAATGAGTTATGAAATAGGAATCAATATTTAATATTTTCCATCTAAGTAAAGCATGTGTTTCATAGGCAAAATGCATATGAACTGCATCATCACTGCATTTAAATCATCTTTGGAGGTCTAGATCTCACCTGTCACCGACTTTCACACAAATGAGAATTGTACAGGTATATGGAGGGAAGCTTCAAAACTGCATTACAAGTTTGCTCTAACTAGTCTAGGTAATTACACTGGCTAAATGGAAATCACCAGAGGGTAGACCTAAAATGTGTCCTTAAATACAATATTAAAATAAATACTGTAGGTGATTTGTGTCAACACTGATGACTGTACTCAGAATTCAGTAGTCTTGCATTTCTCCTTTTCAGTATTTCTAGCATACCAGAAGGCATATTTACATCTTTCCCCATAAATAGTCTAATAATTTAACTTTGTAAATTATAAAATATTTCTATGCAACTTAACACAATAGCCTAAAAAATTAAGTTTAACTTTAAGAAATAGTGTATTTACATTTAAAATAAATACAGACCTCAATGGATTTGCATTCATTTAACACACAAAATAATTTACATAGCTTAAAGTAATAAATAAGTCACAGGAAAGCTTTCAGAATTATGCATTCTCTATATGCCAGAGTGCAGTACAGTTTCAGGAAGCAGTAGTGTATTGGCTATGTTTTCTTCACGGCCCTTAAGTTGGACGACCTTGACCAAAACGAGATTTTGACCTGSATTAAAAACACATAAAAAAACATATTTGTAAATTATTATTCCTAGAACTTTGTTGTTACTCTTGTCAAGTTAGCGCTGTAGTCCAGTATTTGTTCAAAATTACTTTCATGTTAAAGAGTTTTTAAACATAAACAAATCTCACACATCTACTACTGATAAATTATTCTTCTGCTAGGATACCTGTACCAACAAACTATATGTTTGTACACAGAATTTAAAGAACTGTGACACCAAATACTTTCTTTCAAAATCACTATTTCTACGGAAGTCGTCATTTGTATTTCCGTGGACAGAGATGACACCTGTGAGAAATTTGTCTCAAAAGACTYACCTACTGGCCATATTGTGACCAGTAGGCTCTAAAACTGCACAGTATGTCAGCTTTTCAGTAAATTATTGTTTTTCCATTTTAAGGTAGGGTTTTCTTTCTTTTTCTTTTCCTCCTCTTTTTTTTAGTAGAGGGAAAAGAAGAGACTAAAGCATCTTAGCTGACACTTTCCTAGTTATTCAAAATTTCACAAAGAAATATCTTGGAGCAGCAGCCAATCTATCAGCTATTAAATAGTTCTTCCAGTGTAGATTGAAGAGTTTAATTCTCTCAGCTCTAACATAATTTGATAAATTAATATCAACTTATCAATTATAAACTGATAAACATTACACATGGTTAAGCTGATGGAAGGGATGCTCTGCAAAATGTGAGCAAAACTTGAAATGAGGCAAATGTGTTTAAAAGAAGAAAAAAGACCACGTTCTGCATTTTCCTTCCATTAAAAAAACAAAACCAAACGCCACCCCCTCCAAAACTTACCTTGTGTTCTTCTCTGCATTGTTTTGTCGTGCATTGACTTGTGCTGAAGCCTTTATCTGAGCTTCAAGCCTAGAATAAATGCCTCCTGCATACTGCAAATCAGAAAATGAAGCTGTGAAGTTATTCCAATCTAACCAGTGATTTCTCATAGAAATCTCTAAAACCTAGGGTTTCATTATGAATACCCAGTACTGAAATGTTTCAAATCCATTTTATTTTACATGTCAGGTTTTTAAAGGCAGTGACCTTAAACCTAATAAATATCAACCTAACTAAACCAGAAACAACAACAACAAAAAAACCAATCCCTTCCCACACTTACTTGGTTAAATCTAGTTTTCAGACTGTTAGAAAGGAGCTTCACCTAATTTACTTTTTAATCTTAAGTGTTAAAAGATGGTATTTACATTTCTATTGCATATTTTTRTTACTAAGGCTCATTTAAGTTTCATAAATGCTACAATTTGACACGACAAGCCTTACTTCTTTACTGTCTTTTGCCTTGACTCGATCCAGGTCTCCTAGTCGCATTTTTATCAAGTGACCTGTAATCTCAGACATTCTTCTCTGATCTGTCAGAAGACATAATATTTAGAACACACATTTTCTTGCTACTGAAAACAAGAGCCAGAAGAACACAGGAATACAYGTTAATGATATTATATTTGCAAAAGTAGCTTTCCTTTTAAGTTCATATAAGAATCTAAATAATCTAGATCCTAGGATGCATAACCTAGCTTCAGCTGTGTTCTCAATAGATACCAAAACTAGACTGATACACTACAGAGAAATAAAAATCTACAGGAATGTTTCTGAGGCAGTGGTTTTCAAAACAGAAAAAAATACACCAGTATTTGGGGAGAAATTAAAGAGGACAAAAACAAACAGATCAGAACAACTATAATCCTGAATATTTTGGTCAGAGACTGGGATGGAAATACAAATGAACATGTTTACCTACGTTAATCTGCTCACACAAACAGAACAGGGATGTGAGAAGGGAATTAGCATGCCTGTGCAGCTAGTAGATGATAACACTAGCACTGTCCCTGTGATCTCTCTAGTTTGTATGCTGACATTTCAAAGAACAAATAAAAAATCCCAACGTATATTTATTATGGATGTTTTTCCCCTGGCAAATTTGGAATTCTTTCACAATATTTTTCTAGACAGCAAAACCAAGATTGTCCATTTATTTTCATTTGAAGTGAAGGTAAAGCATATGGCTTTAAGTAGTGGATTTTCTTCCAATTTTCTAGCCACAAAGACATTTTTTCCTCTGTAGAATACAACAGATGGCTAACAAGTGCCAATCAAATCCTAAAGTAAAATTTTCAAGAGTGGTTTCTACCTGTATGAATATTTTTGCACATTTCAGTACAACCTAAAATTGCTATGTAGTTTGGAAACAGCTGACAGACTAAGAATTAGTCAAGTAGAAGCCTATTCTCTACCAAATCAGAAGTAGCTATGCAAAATGAGTGTTATGTCTAAAAGTAAACTCAACCTAAAGGTTTCCAAGAAGTTTTACGAAAAGCAGACATTTCTTATAGGAAAGCATAGAGTTCTATGCATAACATTAATACTACAAAAACTAAACAGATGCAAAAACAGACCATCTTCTCTTTGAGCATCTTGGTTGAATCTTAGTGATCTGGAGGGATCCCATTTGTTCTGCTGCATACTCACACTGGTTGGAAAAAGAAAACCAGATGCATACAGAATATTATCAGTAACCATTTACAAAAAAGGATGTGCTACAGTATGTATCAAGGAATTTGAAAATTACTTACATAAATGGAGATGCATCTCGGGAACTTGACTAAAGAAAGAAAAGTATATTCCTAAGTGTGTTTTAAGAGAAAGTCTAAAATTTAAGAGTATTCCACATTATTCAATCCAGAAGGGCTGGTGTCAAAACTCAAGATTTTACCTTGTCAGATGGCTTCTCTTTTTTCTGAACACTAGGTGAAGAAATCACTTTCTTYGGATGCTTGCAGGATTTCTTTAATTTCTCCTTTCTCCCTGCTGATTAATGTAATATTCAGTTAAAAAAAGAAAAAAAAAAACGTAACAGATATGTAGAATCTCTCAACTAAACAGCTATAAAAAGATTTTTCCCTCCRCTTATAAAGTAATTGGACTGGATATCTCTTCTTTGATATTGCAGGCATATAAGTTAACACTGACAGATCACTCAACTCTTTCCCATCAGTGTGGGAAGCATGTATGAACTAAGGTATATATTTAAAATGCAGAATAGATACAACAAATTTGGGCAGTCCTTTGTAAATGCAAAAGCAGCTGCACATACACACTACATCCTTGAGAATACTAATTCAATCAAACTCAAAACTTTGGGAGATGTCAAACCAAACAAGCTAAAGGCAGATTACAGTKTTTTCTGTCAACTTCTTCTAGAAATTGGTGTACCCCAACACCTTCATGTCATATTCAAAAAGAACAAACTGCCCAAGTGCAAGTGGCTTATCACTAGGGTGGAAAGTAGAAGCTTTAACCTTGTACCATAATTTAAAAAATAAATGTTTTTATAGAGTTTATCTTCAGACCACTCTAGTTACATTCACCARTCAGTCATCTCAACTATGATTTCAGGGTAGCATTCTGAAAGTGAAAATTCTTAAGTTTCTTGATAGTCTTTCCTATAAAATATGCTCTTGATCACCYTTGAGGACATCTGAATAGTTTCAGCTTCTCTTGTTTGCCAGTGTTTTTYTGACAGCACCAAGCATTAGGTTAGTCTCTATCTAAACACAGGCAAATATAGACATAAAATTCAAATAAGAGAAAAAGAATTGTGCTGCCTTGCCTTGAATCCCTATATCTGAATTCCAGAGAAGTTTACTACAGAGACAGCTGTAGTCATACCTGGTTTCCTGCACACTTCTTCTTCATCCCCCACTTCATCTTCCGTGACCTCTGAGCCAGTGGTATACTCCTCTTCTTCAGATAACAGTGACTGCTGTTTCTAACAAGTGGGAGCAGAATGACAAAGGTAAGAGMAGCTTGATTCCTATTAAATATGTTAAATCTGTCCTAAGGAGTTCTCTTCAAATTTAGCTTTGTATCTAAGCGAGGAAACCATATGGAAAGTTAGATCTGAGAACATGACTCTCAAATATTGAAAAATTGATTTCAAATTTGCTTAAAATGTCATGAAAAATATTTTTATCTATGTTTCCTCAGGCTGGTCAAATATTAGAAGAAGTTGCCCAGCTAGTTATTTATCTTTGAGTAAGGAAGGGCAAATATTTAAATTAAGAACAAAACATTTTACTAACCAGCTGCAATGTCCAGTTCTTCAGAGAAAGAAACTGTAGCCAGGAAGAGAGGTGTATGTTAGAGAATCAATAATAAATAAATAAATAAATAGGTGAGGGCRATTCTCAAAATAGGATTGGTATGTTGTAGTACAGCATTTTACACTGTAGCTCCTAGAAAGTTTACTCTCAATCTTTGACTTCTCATTTTGGTGAAATGAAGCACAGCAACAACTTCTGAACTACTATTCCATTAAATGCTGTGAACTCAGAATCATGTTCTAACTTGACTAAACTTAGCACATAGATTGTTTCTGAAATAAAAAACAAAAACAAACACCCACCACATACAACTGAAGTTAGTGCTCAGCACTTGCTCATGTTAGAGTGTCTAGAACTTTGTAAATTTATCTCTACAAGAAGGATGTCTTTAAACCAGAGGTAGTTTTACAAGTTTACTTCAACTTGTCTTAGAAAATATTTCTATTGATTTGGCATATGCAAAACAAAATATACGCCACAGTGCTGTTAGATAGGATCTTTTGCATCTGGAAGAGACAACCAAATACAACTGTTATTTGAATAAAATTAACCACTCRGTGTATTCTGAACTATGACTGGGTCGTTAAATTCCATCACTTTATAAGTAGCCTGTAAAGCACAGGCATATGGAGAATTGCTTCTGTTTTAGAGAAATATTTTGATAGATTTCCTCTAAGTTTTATCTTCTCACCAGACATTTTGTACTCAGACTAGTCTCTGCTGTCCCACAGTGCTCAGCTGTGTGCTTCATTCTTTTTACATATATAAGGTAGATAAGGTATATAAAGTTGTATATAAAAAGATGTATATATAAGGTTGCCTAACAAATTCTTCAAAGTATCTCTGTAATAATCTTTATTATTGGGAAGAAGAGGAAAAAGCAAGTCAGTAGCAGTCACTCACAGCATTGATTTCTCCTGTTTTGGGGCCCCATGGCATATTTGGTTCTAACAGCACATCACATTCAATACCTTTTTCATCACATAGTCCAATACCAGAATCACTTGAAGAGAAAGAGATGAAAACTTCATTATTTCATAACTTTAGAATCAGACTCTCTTTACTCACGATAAGAAGAGAAAGACCTCCCCGCCACCACCAAGTTAGCCACCTAACTAGTATTTTGATAACAATGCCTTAACACATAAAAATGAGAGAGATTAGTTATGGAGGTTGAATGACTAAATCTGTTTGAAATGTAAAAAGTTAAAAATACTTGCTCTTCTCTTTCAATTTCCAATTAATCATAAAATCAACTTATGTACGTATGCACATTCTAAAATGGGGAAGTCAAAGGTAATGCACACACAGGTAAAATGCCAAAGGCAAAGTTATTTCAGTAACATTGTTTTTACCTATTTTCATCCTTAGTGAAAGGAACAACAATAACATCTCTGTGGTGAAGCAGATCGTTGAGTATTTTAGTAGTCTGAGATGGCAAAACATCTTTATCTTCTGAAGGTGAAGCCACCATATGATCCCTCACTTTACAGCCCTGTCATACATAAAGAAATAAAGAAAGTAGACATGTATTATGAACTAATGGGAAGAAGTGATTCTAGTAAATATGATAACAAAAACTCAACATTCTACAAACTTTTGGTCTCAATACTTGGAAGCTTTCCCAAGCCAGAAACTTTAGATGAGCTTTTCCTTAAAGTTAACAAGAACTTGTAGAAAGGGACATCGTGAGGAGCAAAGCAATCTATTAGATAGGAATAGCAATTTTTACAGAACTGTTTCCTATCCAATCTTAGCATTAGATGTGGTCAAACTGTAAGGTGACAAGAGGAAACAGACAAGTGTCCCTTGGTTGTACTGACAACTTGCACAGCACAAGCTATATCAAAAAGCAAAAATCCAGCTTTCTGGCATTTCCACAGCACCCTCCCCTCTCCAAGGCCATGCTCCACCCTGCCTGCCAGGGACTGCCTGCTGTACTTGAATCACYCCAGAACAGTTGACAGCAGCAGGAGAAAGGTAGAGTCCAGAGGTCAGAACCCTCATCTCATGCTGCTGTGAGACATCACAATAATACACAGCCCTTATTTTGCAAAGGATGATTTTATAAACCCATCCCCTCCCATGCATTATGCCCTTTTGAGGTTAACTATTACAAAAGTACCTTTGGGAGAGCTGTAGGATCAAATCGAAGTACTTTCTGGTTGCAACAGGGATAAACTCCTGTCCCAGTGGAACCCAGAGCACTTGCTACACCGGGATAGAGAACTGGCTGCGAATGGTACTGGCAATGGGAGAACTCGGTGCCCAGGAAACACTACATAAGAGAGATGAGAGGTGAGACTGCCAGTGGAAGTCCAAATTTTACCATAAAAATAACATCTATCAACTTTATTACTGTCACACACCAAAATCTCAAAAATTCCGGAAAAGTCCTCCCCCAGCCACCACCTTTCTTAAGGCAGAAAGCCTTTATGTCACTCATTAAAACCACTTGGACAGAGAATAGCCATTTTACTTTAATCATGCGTTGTTCTAAGCAGTGAGAAAAATGATGGGAAGGAAGTATTCAGAAGTCATACTTCCTTTAGAAGAAAGTATTTAGAACTCCCATAATGTAAGTAATTGTGTCCAATCAAAAAATTTTWAAAAAAAGTGCAGCTGTTACCAAAACCAATTAGTTAGAGAGGATAAATATATTTTCCATACCCTTTTAGGACCTGATACAGTCTCAAAACTCACTCAGAAAATAAAACAAAAGACCCACAGACAATCAAGGGAAAGTGAAAATATACTAACTTGGTTACACCTGGAGCAGGTCAACCAATTGACAGTSCCCCAGAGGCGCCAATAAACATCCCGCCAAGATTTCAATTCCTCATGAAGGCCAATTAAATACTCATGGACTTCCCAGGTTTTATCTCTGAAAAAGTACAAGGTCAGGTTAGGCAGAGTCCTAACAGTTTTGATCCTTCCACCAGAAAGGTGAGCTGGAGCACAGCAAAGCAACACATCTTCCACTGCTGAAAATACTAGAGGAGAGTTTACAACAACAAGAATATGAGGTGGGACAATTGGTATGAAATTCAGGTGCTGACAAAACACCCTAAGCTTACTAGTAACAAAGCATTAAAGCTAGCTTCGTTTCAAACTCTATATACTGCAATTTGTAAGCTAACATAAATAATAGACCTTATGGAAATCAGGAGAACCATGAAATGAAGGAAGACTCAATACACAGAGTAAAAGAAAACAAAATGCACATGTGTGAACAAGTTCAATGGTAATGCATTTTTCTGCCTTTAGAACAGTACTACAAAACAGCAAATGTGAAGCACTGCCATTCTATTTTATTTATCTTAAAGTGCAGCGGAGTATGTTTCTATCTATCTGCAGTGCAGCAGCAATTTTGAAGATTGTTAGCATCTTTTCCTGATGGCTACATGCATTTGTAGTTTCTGTTTCTAAAAATAGAAGGTATTATGAACTCTGTTCCTTCCTAGTGATAAAAGAGCACATCTCTCTATAATTCAAGAGACAACATGCATCCAGCACTGATGCATTTTATTCTTGCAAAGAGCAAATACTTTTCCCTACAATTTCAGGTCCTGTCCTGAACAGTGTTTTACTATGCCCCATCTAGCTGAAGCAGATGAAAACCCCTCTGGAATCTCCTTTGTATTGCTAAATTCTAGTACATACAGGTCTATTTTTAAACTATACCATTAAAGACAGGCTTGTATTAGATCATAAGCCTGGATTCATTAGTGGCCAATGTCACTTGGACTAAGGAGTGGGTAAATAGATTCCACCCAGAAGAGCAGCCACAAGTGCCAGGAGAGACACACGCAGGAGATTATGTAGATTCCAATTAACTTTGAGAGCCCATACATATATGTGGTAGGAATTATTTAGTGGCTACGTGCACTCAGCCTGCTTGATGTAATACAATTAAAGAATTCTAACGGGCTAATCACCAACGATCCTAATATGTCAGGACAGGGTCACAGATTCAGTTCTACTTAGACTGTTTGGCAGAACTTGCTCCACACCTTAGAACTACCAATGGAGGTTATACTAACTTGACATATATTAACCTGGGAGCTGACATGAAATTGCATTTTGTTGTTTTAAGCTGAATAAATCCAATACGCATTTTTTTCTGTTATTARTTTTTTTAAAAGGGGAGTGAGGGAGGGTACTGCAGCTTGTCAGGCTTTCAGAAGGGAATGCACTGTACAGAAACATGGCTCAATTAGACAAAAATCAATTCAAACATCTGTGCCACATCAATCGGGCACAGAGAAAATAGGCCTTGGAAAGTTTTCTGCCCAATATTTTGAACAAATAAACAACCAGTAGAAATCTAGTAATTTTTAAGCAGAATAGTATTTGATATGACAGAATCAATACAGTCTAGAATAAAGTCTTTAACATGGCAGAGATGGATCAACCTTCCATAACAAACCCTGTGGAAATGCAGCCTTTAATTCTATTTGTCATTGGCTACATATAAAAAACCCTTTAATGAAACAATTAGCTGAGTATTTTCTACTTAAAGCAGTGCAACCCAAAGCAGCACACCCAGGGAACTTGGCTGTAGCTTTTCCATACTGTAGCAGCAGTCCCGAGTTGTTGAAATGATGATTTATGCTGCTCTATACCTAGCTATGAGTCAATTTTTTTATATATATAGATACACACACACACACACTTATATGTATTACCTTATATGAACATAGACAATATCTCCATGTTGATCTATGTTGATTTTTCCTGGTACACAAGGAATTCGTCTTTGTGTTTCTTTAGTTAGTAGTTTTTTACATAAACAACATCTAGATTAAAAAAAAAAAGTAAAATAAAAAAGAGGTAAAACACTGGAGAGAAATACAGAGGCTGTCTTTAAAACTGAAGTAATTAAGAAAATTACCCTACCTGTATAACGTTGCTGCATTTCCCCGAGAATCTGGATTTAGRTACTCTGGATCAAAGAGTCTCTCAATCTTCTTGCAGAAAAGTTTACTATTAATGACAGCAACACAGCTTACCCATTAGAAACAGACCTGAAAATTGTTTTGTGTATGAAACTAATAATAACATTCTAATAGTATGTATATGTTGTCACTTTTCTTTCAATATCTAGTTTTTGCTTCCCTTTAAGATAGCGCCCGTGATGTGCATGTAAAAAATGCCTATACAACTAGTCTTGTCTGGGTCTGAGCATGGACTTTTTTTTAGTTATGGAGGATCTAATGTTTTTGCTGAACCGTTCAGTAAACCATCTCTGCCATGTTCCCCTACGCAGCTCAGGGCCTTCTCCTTGCCCAGCCTCAGCTTGCCTCACAACATGCAGCTCTGCACAGGCAGAGCATTCACCTATCTAACCTGACAGTTCTAGGCTCATTTGTAGATCTGATGCAGTGCTGTTCATGTAACTCTTTCTTAGCCTGGTTGCACCTAACATTTATAAAGATATGAGGACAAAAAACCCTTCTCTTCATGGTGATAATATTACAGATGAAACCTTACATCTGGGTCTGTCCTGGAATTCCTATATTTATARAACATGACTATAGATGTACACTCTGTTTAGACTTTTTTCCCCTCCTCTATTAAGCTTTTTATCAGTTTGCTATCTAAACTCACAGCTTCTACTTGACTAAAAACACTTTTTACTACTGAATGCTTTTGTGAAATCAGACTTAACTTTTAGAATTAACTTAGCAATGTTTTAATTCCTGCCAGTTAAAGTGTTCCTCCAGTGTCTTTTGTGTGTCTGTAACTCTGCCCGCTATTAATTTACTGTTGATAGTAGCTACGCCAGAGTCCTTATTTACACTGCTTAAATAATACTCCATTATTAAGCTATTCAGCTTTCTGACCATCCTATATTCTATAGCCAAACAGCACAGTGTGCAGGTTGCTGAAAACAAACTATTCTCTATGAATTAGGAGCAGGTCAAACCAAAAAAGACTCTTTTCCATAATCCTGGCCTCTATGCGATGATTCATGAATAATTTATACATGTTATGGAATCCTACCATGGTCTTTCCTTTTGATTCTCTTTTATAGATTGACTCAAAATTTTAATACAAAATTATGAAGTCCCTTCATGATATTCTGTGTTAAAAATACATTGTATAAAAGTATAAATTGTATTTATTATTCTAAGCTCCATACTGTCTTAGCTGCTTCCAGAAATAATCTAGAAACCCTACACTATTTCAGTGATATATTAGACTGCAAAATGTTACCTCTTAAATTTGTCTCTTTTGTCCTTCAGCTCTTCCACTTCATTGTGTGTGAAGAGATCAGCAATTCGTGTAACAAGATTAGCATTGATGCAATTCATGTTACATGGTGTGGCTACAATGGCATTCATATTTTCATGGCAATAATTAATACATTTTTCTACCTGTGAAAAGCAGAAACATTAAAAATAGTATAAAAGACTTCTAGATAAAGCTATTTCAGACAAATTACTTCAAGCTCTGTGTGTGTGTGCTTGGCAAAACTAGTTCACATATGGCAAAGAATCTTTCTTTTTTAATACTTACTAATGAATCCATCTTCAAAAATTCAGAAGAAATAAGAATTGATATAACATTTGCTGGTTCTAGAAGAAAACAAAAGGATTTTTTAAAATGAATGCTTTTTATAATTTGACATCACCTCCCTCCCTCTGCATATTTAGCATGCACTGTAAGCATTATTTTAAGCAGTCAGCCTATCATTCCATCTTCCAACATGCAGAAGTCTTCCAGTCCTATGAAACAGATGCCTGGTTCCATGTTCAAAGGCACTGTGTTATTCTTAGGCATTTTTGTCCATATTCTCAGTTCTYCTTAGCAAATAAATTAGAATGATCTTATTCAATTGCTTTATTATGGTTCTAGCTGGTTTTAATTTTTTATTCAGCATTTAGGTGGCCAGAGTGAAACTATGGACTCTATAATAATAACGTCCAGTTTCACTGGACTATAAACAGCTGAAAAGGCAACTGCATAAGGATAAAAATCACTCAAAAAACTCTATAATAAGCTCATTTCCATTTCTGGCCAGTGTACTCAGCGCAACATAACCTGCAAAGCAAAGGGTTTTTTTCAGGACTCCTACCTCATCTTATTCTGTTTATATTTTACAAGATGATAACAAAGTATCATAAAAAGATTTTTAAAAAATCTCAAACAATATTAGACCTTATTTACTSTATTAGTTATCAAGATATTTACTTAAAACTGTCAGTGCTGACAGCTCAAAGACTTCTGCTATAATGATTACATAGAAACAGTTTACTGGCTGTTGCACTGAAACAAAACACTGAGGCTGATTTACACTAAAACCAGTAATCTTCCATTAGCTTGACTTTTACTTCAGACTATGAAGTACRTATCATAATGAATCTGTCACCAATGATCAAGGTACTCTTTTTTTATTATTATTTTTTACCTAGAGTGGGCATTTCAGAAGCTTCATATTCTTTGGTGTTCCTTTTGACGTATTTCATCAACCAGTCAAAGATGTGAACGTCACAGTGCACTGAGATGTCCACCTCTTCCCAGCGCTGGGCATCCACTGACAGGTATTCAGCAAAATACTTCATTTCTGAAACCAAAAGGTCTCGAGGACAAACAAAATCTTCTTTGAGGTTTTTTGCTTCATCACACACATGGATCACCATATTTGGCCTTGATTAAAAAAGAAAGGAAGACAGAAAACAAGTTAGGACAGTAGGAATGCCAACTCCTAGCCAGTAAGAACGCCTAAACTGATTAATGAAGATTTCATCTCCAAAACTGCTGACATTGCAATATTAACATCACTAACAATCTTTTCTTATCTAAAGGAAAACAAATTATACAGTTACTACCAGTAAGAAGCCACTGTCAGATACTAGTTGAAAAGCACAAACRTGCATATACTGAGACAGGTAATCAAAGTGGAATTAAACAGTTTAACTTACCCATTATTTCTCGAGTCCCTTAAGTCCAGTCCCTAACTTTTTCAAGTTTGCTATGGGATACTATTAAAATATTAAACAAGTGATTTGCTCTCCTTTTCTTCTTTCCTTGAAAAAACACTGATACATACACCCATCCACCCTTAACTTAGTATTGAGGTACTATGTGTATTAACCATACAATAGTTAATTTTGTACATAGCAATTTTCATCTACAGAAATTTTCATCTGCAGAAATTAAAATTGCTKTATAATATATCAAAAGGACCATTTCTTAAGAAAAAGTTCAAAGCTAGAATCAGTAAAATCTCTACAAAAAAGAAGGTTACCATTAGGTTAGAATTACACACAAGATGCACTAGTATCTCTGTGCATCTCTACAAGATGCACTGGTGATAATGCACATGGCTACTTGAATTGGTAGTAAAAAAAATTATTTGCATTTTTCACTTACAGATTTCCTTTTCTTCTTTTAGATTAATAGGGGAACTTTACGTTCACAGAACATAACTTTGTTTTTTTCAATTAGCTGTCAGTGAGCATCAATCTTTTTTATTCCTTTTTTAAAAACACACCGCAGTATTTTAAAGGAGAGCTATCTATGGATTCATAAGTAGCCTATCACTACTGCACATAAGAAATTCTCACACCATTCCTCCAAAGAAAAATAATAATAAATTAAAACACTGAGTCAAAAGTCAGCATCCTCATTGAAATTTTCTTGCTCCTGGCCTAGGACCAGTCCAACAATCATTAGTACCTGCAATACTAAATAAGAAGATGTGTTTGTCACCCTGGCTTGAGAAAAGTGACAAACTGTGGACACATGTTTCTACTACCATTCTTTTAATCAGAATCAGGGAAAATGATATAAAAACATACAAAATATGAACAGTTGGAAAACTACCAAAAATTCTTTGGAATTAACTTATTCTTTCTTATTAAGAAAGCTAAAAAAAAAGTTTAACTGGTTCTACTTTGAACCAGGAGAATGGCTGTCTGATCTTCTTGCGTCCTTTTTAGTGGTGCTATCTATTATTTTGCAATTCCTCCCAATGAGGGCTCCCTCTGCCAGCCATATAATCCTGTAGGCAAAACACAGGAACATCATCTTACCCCTGATTTCCATCAGTGCTTTCTTCATCTTTATGCACAGGATCTTTCTCAGACTCTGGAGAACTATTCCTTGTGGAGGTGGTAGTAGGCCTTCCTTAAATGTAAGGAAAAAGGGCAGATTAGACTGAGCTTTTGCTCCAGTATCTTGGAACTCAACTGAAGCACAGCTCTCATACGGGGGCAATGTTACCTGACTAGCAGTAAAAYTTGTGCTACAATAAGAGAATCTGTAGTGTTTGCCTCTGGGAATATAACTCATTCCTTTAACTCCTTTTTTCTTCTTTGTGGGATATGGGTCTTATGACTTCCAATCACATAAAGACTTTTATTTYAGTAAGCTTTGCCACCAGAATTAATTGCTCCTTATGAATAAGTTGTTAGCTGTGGAAGTATGCTGCTTACAACCTGAAGGAGAGAAGTCTCTACAGATGCACTTTTCCCAAATTTCTCAAACACATGGCTTAAAGTAGCACTTTAAGTAAAACAATGCGCAAAAAGAAAAGCAGACCGATTCTTTTAGCCCCAAAATTATACACCTGCAACTTTCAGGMCAGTGAAGTTAACACAGTAGTCGCAGAAGAAACAAAACTTTCTCTAAAGATATAAATGATGGCCGTGCACAAGTAGGTCTTAGCAAGGCCATAACTAAAGAAAAACAGCTAATATTAGAGGAAAGTTTATTGGAAGAAGCCGGGTCAGTCCTAGCTGCCTAAGCACTCATTCTACTGCAGACAGATGGCCTATACTGGTAGAAAGAGAGCCAAGGTGTGTGCGGATCCTGGATTTTTAATGCAAATGCAATATGAATATTTTAAATAAAGGTCTGTGGGAGAAATGAGACTGAGAAGTTGTTCGAAAATAYTGCAATTATTAAGAAATGTATTTTGGATATAGCAAAGCTCTTTATAGAGGAAAAGGAAATAACATTGACAACATGCAATAGAAGCAAATTAAAAGAGATATAATTGTCTAAGTTCTATAGGTAGAATTAGCTTGTTACCTGCCTACTGGGAAGCTACTAATCTTCTAAGTAGCCACCTATGAGTGCAAGAAGTTAATGATTTATTCAATTTAATGTATATAAGACATTATTGAAAGATGAGGGTACTTAATAGTCATTTACTCATTACTGCAATGAAGCAAATTTCTCAGGCAACACAATTGGCAAGTTTCCCAATTATAGAAGATATCTTTATTTAGAATGAAAGCCAGTGAATAACTAATACACTACTGTTTAAATAAAACTTCTTACAGGAGAGGTACTTAAGGCAGTGTTAGTAATATTTTTCTTTTGCACTTACAGCACAAATAGCTAGGACTAGTTTGTCACGAGGCCACATAATTGACCTAGACTACGTGTATAGCAATGCAAGAGTATTTTGCACCAGGAAGCAAGTAGTTTATGCTCAAATTCCCATGTAATCATCTAGCCATTGAGGGAACTGCAGGGTCTTTTGTTGGGAAGGGAGAGTCTGACCTTGAGGAACCCCCTTCTCAGCTTTCTATACAAAATTTTCTATGTTAATAACACAGCTTGACATGACTGTAAGCATCAGAGGCTAACACAGCACAACACCAGGGATATAAAACGGAAGAATAATCCCCATCCCTCCCAAACAGAAGGATTTAATACAAATTTCAGCATATCATGCTTTTTGGCATGGCATGGCACAAACTATTGATAAATCTGAACATCGATTCTTAAATTGAAAGTGGCTTCTTAAGTGCRTGATACATAGGCTTTACTTCTCCGTTTCAGAGCTGAAAAAGCATTGTTCCTGGGCAAACTAACCACTCAAGACAGAAAAGCACATATTGATTAAAATCAAAGTCAGTAATTCCAGAATTACTGAAAACCTACCAGTTGTAGTAACAGAATTCTGCCCACCAGAAGGCTCCTGAAACTCTGTCTGTGTATCAAGCAGGGAGGATTTGATGTATGTTGCTAAACTTTCCACAGGACTCCCACCAACAGCCATTAGGGGATTATACTGGTTGTCAACAGGCGAGCTTCCACTGCTTTTTAGTTCATCAAACCTTTTTGCACACTGTCACAAGATCAAGCAATGGGACAATGAAGTAGCAGCTTTCGGTACATTTTAAGTAACTGATTTTTGATGCAGATATGTTTCGGTATACTACCACTTGCAAATAAACACTGTGTCACCTTCCCTTTTGGTAGAGGCACACACAGCAAAATCCTTTTCATATCAACTCAGCGTTTCAAATTTTGCCAGTTTATAAAATTCAATAGACATGAAAGCATAGGTCTCAATTACCTTAAACAGAGATTTCACACATTGTATTTTAAAACAGCAAATTAACTTAAAGTAACCAGCAGGTACTAATTAACAATACTGACTTTATACAAGGAAAAGCAGACAGATACTTTTACAGTTATCTTATTTGTTCAAGGTCACACTGTACTCAACCCAAACTAGAAGCTATTGAATAGCAGTGTCCCCCCCAAAAATATTAAACTCTTCACCAAGCACATTTTTTCCAACTTGCCAGGCAGTAACATTCCACATAAGTGACTGTTTCGGAGCAGGAGCTTTTTTTCTAAACACAAGGTCACAGCAAAGGCCCCTAGCAAGGCTACAAGCGTGAGATGACACATTTGATTAAGTTTACAAGAAAACACAGACAGATAGTGTGAGCTTCACTGAATCACAAGGACAAAAGCCATTTTCTTTCTTAGCTCAAAAGCATTTAAGTGGATATAAAAGATCTTCTCTGCTTCTGAACTCTTTTTTTTTTTTTTTTTTTTTTTTATTTTATCAAAGCAAACGCACCTCTTTGGATGTGAATCCTGGAACTAGCCTTGCCACACTGTCCCAGTTGATGGGCTGAGGAACGCCAACTAAGGAACACAGGATCATATCCAAAACCATTTGGTTGTTGTCATATGGAAAGTTATTGTTTTCTGAAAATCCACGACTCATCTTTGGTTACTATGGCCTACAAAATAAAAAGTTATTAGACACTTACACACCTAAATAATGCTCAGATTTCATCTTAACTGCAAAATTTGTCAAAGCTTAATATATGTTAATTGTAGCACTCTAAGACTAGAGGAAATACTTACTGCAGCACTAATGCCAATGCTGTTACGTTTGCATCTGACACCTCTACAGCCTCAGGTTTTACTTATTTTTTTTTTTGTAGAGGGGGAAGAAGGGGAAAGGGAAGAAGGGCAGAAAAGTCAGATGTGCAGAACATACTAAAAAAAACCTCAAGATCAGCAAGTACTGATACTTCTCTGAGTTTTCTTGCATAGGGAATGCAGTTTGACTTTGCAAAATCTAGAAGAAAAACTATTCCTGAATGAGAAGGCAAAACATGGGTGCCGGTCTTCCTTTCCCTAAGGCCTGAACCAAAGAGCTGGTAAATGCAAGACAACCAAGAGAAAAAAAAACTCAAAACAACAGCAAAAAAAGGGCTGCCATCATGGGAACCATTAATCTCCAGTTTAGAGGAGAAGATGATGACCTCTTTGAAGAGCACAGTAATAGGTAAGACTACTAGATAAAACCTGAATCAAAGGTAGAGGATTCAACAAGCAGCATCTTTCAGGCTGATGAGATTCATTAGCAATGAGAAAGGGAAAAAAAGAGAAACGGTCCAAAGTATTTGCTTATTTGCTTAGCATATGGTGGAAAAGTGCTGGCATTGAGCAAGCCTTTGAGACATAACTAACGCACAGGCAAGATCTTAATAAGGACTTATATTTGGAAAGGACTTGGGATCTTTCTTCAAGTTGCTTAAACAGATCACRTTACCAATGAGACCCAAAAATCATGTAATTTTTTTACATTTAATGTATAAAGCAAAGATTATGGAGAATTTCAGGGAAAACATACGTGAATACGACTAGCTTTAACTGACCACTAGTTACTAAAAGCATGAGACACGTAGCTTTTTCTTTTGCTTCATTCTCTTTTCACATAGCTAAAAGACAAGACTCTTAAAATATATAACATAGCACTGCATTTTTTTTTTTTCGGGTTGCAAAAGTTATGCTATCTTTTCTTGGTTATGTATTTTTATTTGTAGAAGCAAAAGTCACAATAGCAAGTAATTTATCCTCTCAAAGAGTAGCTGAATTAAACTATGAGGAGGAAAAAAAAAACCACAGTAAAACAAAGTTTTATATATTTTTGGGAGATTAAAAGAGTGCATTATTTTGTGATTAGGAAATTCATTTTGGGAAGACAAGTCAAGGAATAGAAGTCATGACACTTCAGCAACTCTATATAAATGAAATTAAATAAATTGCAAGGTACGTGCTCACTTAAAGAGGGGTTTTGTTTGTTAGTTAACTGTTTTTTTTAAATTAATATCATGGTGCTCTACGGAAAAAAAGCCAGTTTGGAAGTTAGAGCTACTGCACGGACATCAGGTCCCAAATTTTACAACCAAGAAAACGCCACTCTGAGGTGAAGGTAGATCAGTTCCTCCRTTCATTGAGTCATTAGGATTTATTTTGAGGGCCCTGCTTAGTGCACCCCTGTGGTAAGTCTGTGATGGAAACTGCTCTCCATCAGGGCACAGACAGAAGTCAGTATCAATAGCTGAAGCCGTTGGGTATCGACCACATCTGCTATGAGAAGGGATGATGAGGCCAGTGGCAAAGCTGAGTGGCTTGGAGATATGAAAACCACTTCTCATGGTATCTCATATGCACTTAACAAGCTTAAACATGCTTGAATGAGATGAGCAAATGATCACATATTAATGCCCTCTGAGCTTAAGACATAAAATACATTTAATGAAAATAAATTACTAGTAGGGGCATCACTTTATAAATGCCCATCTTAAAGCATAATTCGATGATATGATCACACTAAAATAAATTGTTTCTAGCTAATAGCTAAATACAAATATTGCTAATAGCAATAGCTAAATTTACAGTTCAATGAGGGGAAAAAGACGTTTTAATCACTTAACTGGTAACAAGTTTCTGCATACCTCAACAGTGCAGACTAGGAAGCAAGCCAACCATGCAAAGATGACAGGTACTCTACAAGTAAYGACACCTTCAGGGAGAATAAAGCCTCTGTCACTCAAATATTTCTTTATCCACTTATTCTGTGCATTAGAATACAGTCACTTCGAGAATCAGTACTACAGAGACTCTGCTACAAATTTAAGTCTTTTTATTTACTCCTGTTCTGGAAACAGCCCAGAACTCCCCTTCATATCTTCATATCTGATGTTTAGCTTTGGTTCCTTCTCCTTTAGGGAAGGCTGTAAGAAAAAGAGTTGAAAACACACAAGATTCTCCAATGAGAASGTACACAATGTGAGAACTGCAACGTAAGGTCTGCAATAAATCCTAAGGCTCCAGGGCTAATAACAACACGGGATTCTCTCCAGTTTGCTTCTTTAAAAGAGCCTCAACCCGACCTTCTCCTCAAACCACGGAAACTGGGAAAAACACGGCAGAATTCATTCTGATCAACAAATCATATACGTACAGGGCAAAKGGACAAATTACTCTTTAATTCGGAGTTTCAAGCATTAATAAAACCCGTTATTTAGCAGAAAACCTTCCCCTGCCTCTAAAGCCCGCTCGCAGGGGTGGTGATTGAAGGCAGGCGCTGCTGGCCATGCGGGAGGCCGGTTACGGCTCTGGAAGCAGCAGCAGGAGCAGCTCGTTCAGGGCAGCGCGGTTCCCAGAGCGGGGCTCGACGTGCGCCGGGCTCGCGCTGCCCCGGGAGCCGCGGGGAGGAAGGAGCCGCGGGAGCCGCGCGCCGCCTCCCGCCGCCGCCGGAGCGCGGGGAGCGCCGCCGAAAGGAAACTTCAACCGGAGTTCGCTTGCACGCCAGCTAAAATAACAGCAGAGCGAGGCATGTTTTGATAATAATTTAAAATAGCCAAACAAACGGATTTTAAATCTATTTTTCAGGAGAGACAGTGCAAGCKCAGCCACCGTCCCTCCTCACCAAGCACGCCCAAGTGGGAGCCGCCCCCCCGCTCGCTATGACCGCAGGGGAGCCCGGCGAGCCGCCAGCGCTGCCGGCGCATCGGTGCCCGCGGGCGTCCCGGGGCCGCTCCCGCGGGACGGCGGGGAAAGGCTCGCGCGGCGCGGCGGCGCTCCGCGGAGGCGGGCGGCGGGCAGGGTACCTGGCGGCTCCCAGGCGACGGCTCGGCGGCTCAGGGCGCGGCTCAGGGCACGGCTCCGCCGGCGGCTCCTCCTCGCGGCGCAACGGCCCCCG